GTTGAGAAACACTGGCTTAACCGAACCATCTCTAGCCGAGTACAGTGGAGACTGATTTCTTCGTATTATTAATGTAATAAAGACAGAAATTTTTCCAGTTCAATGAGAGACCGAAAAGTTCTATTAAGTTTAACATATTTAGATTTTTACAGCTATGGTGAGAAACGTTTAAAATCTACAATAGCCCTGTCGCGTCCTTTGATATATACTTGTGATGCGACAAAAGAGGTATTTGACATTGACCGGTGTCGGCACCCTGGGGATTTGGTATTCCGCGTGCATGCACGCTCTGCAACCGTCTTCGATTCCATCCATTAGCCACTCGTAGGGAGCTATTTGACTAAGTGCATTGTTTTATGATTTAAAAAGTAAAGAATATTTTAAATTCTTTATGTACGTTTCTTTACAAAGCTATATTTAATTATAATTTTCTTTAAAAGTATATTCGTACAATTGAAGAATATTTTGTACCAGGTATGTATAGGCCTACGTTTAATGTTACGAAGAAGTAGTGTACCTTTATTGATATGAATAAACGAGAATACATTTATCTATTGTTATAATTATTGAGTTCGATTTATTATTTCATTTTGTGTTAATTCAATTTATGTGATATGAATTCATTTCGATGTTTGAGGAATAAAACTGAACTGAAATTGTCACGTGACACAGGAGTATCTTTGTAATCCCTTCAGAACGTGGGGTGAGATGTTCCCGCCTAAAAACAAGGGACAAAGGAATACTTATCCTGCCTAAATCAGATTGTGCCCTCTTGCGGTGAAAATTTGAAAAATGTAGTTATAAACACGTGTACAGTACTTACGTAGGTTCAATGAATTTTTAGTTAAATATTTAACATAGTTTTATGAAGTAATTTTATTTCTTGTCACTTTTGAGGATTTTTTTTTTTCATAGAAAATCCATTATATCAGGGAAAACTTAAAATAAACAGGTCATTTTCATAACGTTACTCAAAATATTAAAAAATATACACCTTTTCGTTAATATATTCTACAATATGCAAGTTCCGTACATAAATCTAGCTAACAAATTTCAGAAGTTGCCTAAAGGAAAGTTAATCACCTATATTTCATCTCTTTTGATCATTTTTTAAAATATAAACACCTGGATGTATCGTGGTGCCATCGACTGGGGTAAGGTTTTCACTTTTTGTCCGGGTTTTTGAAAAAAATTTACGCTAGATTTTGGTTTCAGATTGCTCAGTAGAGCACTGTGCGTAAATTACATTTTGGATAATATAATTAATTCTGAGAAAATTTATATTTAAAAAAACGAAAGCGTCGACTTTTGCCTATTTGACGCTTAATAACAAAAAAGTGTTTTGACATTTTTGGTGCTGTTTTTTGGAATATAAAGCCATACTTTTTCGATGATATTTTTCGAGAGTTTGGTGAATTTTGGTTAAACTTAGGAAAAGTTATCCGAGTTCTAAAAAAGGGAACCAGATTTAAGTCCCTCATCCCCATTATCTATCTCTTCAATTGTCTAGCTCTAATAACGAGAACTTATGGAAAAATGCGGACTTTGTCATTGTTTTCAAGGTGTGGACTTTTTGATTTTATTTTTGTACTAAAATACAGTCGATTCTGTTTAATTGGGCCACCGGTGATTTGGGTCAGCCGCTTTTTTTAGCCAAATCTCAAAGAATGGAAACTAAACCAATAAACTAATACAAAATTTAAAAGTTTAGTTGGGAAAGTACAGAAAAAGGAATTTAGCAACTTTTGGGGATATTTTGGGGGATCTCCCGAAAATATGTCAACTCGACGTACACTAATGTCGTGTTGGCCAGAGACAAAGCAATTTTGTTTTCCGCTGGGGTGGTTCGGTTTACCGGCGGGGGTCAGCATAGCGGGACGTATCACATCCGGATCCCACTCTTTAAGCACAATTAACGAAAATAGATTTTAAGCTTTTCATTTCTTATCAAGACAAAAACATTTGTACAAACATATTTGGTGTTTACTGTTTTATAATTATTTTCTTTAAAATAAATATTAAATTTACGTATAAATAAACTTATCAATATATTAATCTGAGGCAAACCCGAATGCGAGCTACTGACCCTGCTCAGGATTGAACCGGCTCAACTCTTTCTTCTCATTCCATCGGAAATTTTCAACTTTTATGTAATGTTACAATATGTTTTCAATAGTCGTGTCAAGTGACTCGCCGACGTTATGTTTCAGACTCAGTTCCCTCAGTCAAGACTGGACAAAATCTCAAAAGCGGCTGCTTTTAATCCCTGTTAACTCTCCCACTTACAATTTGTGGACTATCCCATCGTGTAAAATTCTACTGTAAATTAAAACAATCTTCTTATTGTCTCTTTTATTTTAACGGTGCACTACTTTTACTTTATCATACTGGTTATTCCAAACGGTTTTTTTCTATTGTTCTTACCGTTACCAAGGTCACGGTTTCCCAAATTTTATAATCTTAACTCAGCACTGTGTCATGTATACTGGGGTATTTTTCCAACGCTTTGTACCATGCCGTCACCTTTGCAGTAAGTTCAAAACTTTTTACATCTATGTTATTTGTTTTTCCCTTTTGTGAACCATTTCCAATTTAATCATTATTTTAGCTTATACCTGTTAATCAATAATCGCCATCCATATTTTATCTAATGTCACAACTCATAATCCATGTAAGTTTCCTAATGATGTTTTACAATTTTGTAACATTATAATAATTTTATGCTAACCTGTAGGTAATTTTCCCTATATAGTCGTAACACAAGAGTTGAAAAGGGACATAATTGTTTAAATGCATAGTCAAAGAAATAAAAAGTTTTTTTAAAGTTTGTCTTCCTTTTCATTGATAATGTAATAAGTCTAGCGAAGAAGAAAAGCCACCTTAGCGCTCGTATAATTGAAAATTTTATTACTCCCAAGGAAGTATCTGTGCATGAGTAAACAATTCTATCACCCCTTAAAGAGGCAGAAATAAACTAACCCAACAGCCAACTCTAGTTGCATCTATTACAGATAAGAATATCATTTTCGTTGAATATACAGTTTTAAGTAAAACGCTTCATTAATTAATAACGTTAGTATAGTCTAACGTTATATAACGTTATATGAACGATTATTCGATAAGAATATATTATGCATCAGTAAAATCTTTTTGCAAAAATATTATTAGAACACTTAATTTTAAATATTATAATTTTTTTATGCGAAGGCCATTCTTGATATTTAGCAGCTGTTTATTGTTTCTTATGTTACGATATTTCTTGCGCTCAAGCTCTCAAGGTTTATAGGCCTTGCTTGCACTTGTTCTACTTACACTCCACCAGGTGGCGTTTAGTGTGTATAAAACCGTTAGTCGCCACTTTAGAAATCACTTCTGCGCTTTTGCCAGGATTGTACTTTTCGTTTTACCCAAGGTAAGCCTATCTATTTTCTTTGTTAGTTGACTCTGCGTTCGCTATTCCATTAGTATCTGCAATTTATTTTTCTTAGTTTTTTTAATTTTACTTGTATGCTCGATTCTAACACGTACCTTTTATTTCAAATTAGGATTTTCCATTGTCTTTTAATTTTTCGTAAAAATGGCCAGTAATTGTAAATCGATGAAACTGGAGGAATCCGACTGCTTAGATCAGTTGTCAGATTTCGTTAGTGAATCTGACTCTGATGTAAACTATATTGCGGACATGCCATCATCAGATTATGAACATGAAAATGACGATGAAAGTGAGGAAGACAGAATAAGCTCTTGTCAGGTTTCTCAAAGTGCTCATGATTCCGATGAGGCTGCTGATTCCGATGAGGAATACCTTGAGGTTCTGTCACCAGAACAATCTCTTCCTCATCCGTTCCCTTTCCTAGAACAATCTGGCCCCAAACACATGCCTACTTCTAATTCTCACCCTATACAGTATTTTAACCTTTTTTTCACTATGTCTCTGCTTTCTCTCATGGTGGCGGAATCGAACAGGTATGCTAAGCAAGTCATAAATGGCATGGGGGGAAATGTGCCCATATATCTGAAGAAGTGGAACAGTATAACTGTTAAAGAAATGAAGGGGTTTTTGGCCTGTGTCTTGAATATGGGACTTATCAAAAAATCTACTGTCGCGTCATACTGGGCCACTTCTGACTCCCAGGCCACTCCGTGGTTTGGGAAAATGTTTTCTAGGCACCGCTTTTGTAACTTGCTTCGATTCTTCCATCTCGTAGATAAAAGTAAGTTGCCTCGCCCTGGGGAATTAGGTTATGATCCGTGTGCTAAATACCAACCTTTGGTGGATCATGCGAATAAGGTGTTCCGGCATCACTACACTCCTCACCAAGAAATATGCGTCGACGAAACATTAGTAGGTACCAAGAACCGAACCTGCCTGCTTCAGCATATGCCCAATAAAAAACATCATCAATGGGAAATCAAGTTTTGGATGCTGTGTGACTCCGTTTCGCACTACTGCCTGGGATTTTTCACTTGTCGAGGGGCCGAGTCCCAGGAGGAGAAGGACAGCATCTCGAAATTTGGTTTAGGGTATACTGTCGTTAGGCGGTTATTGGATCTTGGGAATTACAACCGGAAGGGCTACCATGTTTTCGCCGATAATTATTTCGTGTCGGTGCCCCTTATTCGCCACCTGTATTCCCTAGAAACTTATGTCACGGGGACGGTGCGTCGGAATCGGAAGCACTTACCGCCACAGTTCAAAAACAATTTTTCGGTCGGCCAGATCTCGTATTTCAGATCTGGTCCGATACTAGCTTGTGGGTTCCGTGAAAGGAAGACGAAAAAAGATGCTGTCCTTCTTTTATCCAGCCATGCAAGGGCTCGCGAGGACCAAATTCCTAGGCGCGGGATGGCTAAAAGAAAGCCAGAAATAGTTTCATCATATAATAAATTCATGGGTAGGGTTGATACATCGGATATGATGTTTTATGCATATTTGGATGACAGGAGGTCACACTGGAAGAAAGTAGCTTTCAACATCATAGGCAGGATGGTGTTGAATAGTTACATTCTTTACGAAGAAAATTTTAGAGGACCTGGAAATATAATGTCCCGACATTCATATCTTGTGGCGATAATTGAGAACCTGGCGAGTGAATGGAGGGAAGAGCAAAGGGAAAGTGTGTGCCCCCCTGCCCCAGATCTCCGAGGACCAATAGGACTCCGCAAGCTACCAGGCAGAAGTCAATACCGCTGCATCGTATGCAGCACTCCTAAAGAAAAAAGAACTTCCACAACAGTTTGCACACGTTGCGGAAAAGGATTGCACGCGTTGTGCCTGATAAAACATCGCTGCTAGCACAAAGGTAGGTGCACAATTTGATATAATTCTATAGCAAGGTTTTTTATGCGTAAAGTTTGCAAAATGTACAAAATAATTTCTTTCTTACAGATATCATCTCTTGGATTTCAATGGATTTGCAATTTTTCCTTAAGCATGTGTGCTAGCAGAAAAGGTATGTGGTGCATTTTGAAATAATTAAGTATTTTTCTGTATCAGAGTATGAATGTTGTACAAAACGATATTTTTTTTACAGATTTGGCCCTCATAAGATATTTCTGCTTTTTCCTCTATTTATTTTATTTTTTGATATGAATGTCGGGATAGTATTATGTAATAATAATTCTATGGTGACCTTATAACGATACATTGTTCTTTTAAGTATATATTACAATTGTAAGATATTGTACCTTAATACAACTGGTAATCTTGTGTGATAAAAATTTGATATTTGATTGATGTGATGTGACAGAGTGGATTAGCAGACAGGTTTTCGAAGTAATATATAAGAAAAATATTTCTAAAAACTTAAACTTTATAAGTTTTTATAAAATTAAAATAAAACTTTTTATATGATTTGTATTTTAATTACTTAAACAAATTGGAAAATTAGAAATTACTTAAAGCGTCATGTAATTTTAAGGTGTTTGGTGTTAGTTTTACCAGCACAAGAGAACATTTTCGAAAGCTTGTCAGATAATAAATGTAAAATAAAACCAGAAAAATTAGTTGTAATGAAAATTTATAATTACTGTGTTTCTATTTTTATAATGTTTGAAATTATGTTAATATGTTCAGTTTATTATTTTAATAAATAAAGTTTAAAACAGTAGTTTCTCGATCAATTATTGCATTTAATAAGGACTTTTTTCAAATTGCGATATTTCGCGCCAAGAATCGATTTTTTCTTAATTTTTATTATAAATGTATCACTGAGATTGTTGCATGTTTAAAATTTTTACCTAGAATTGTACTTCCTAAATTAATTTATTGAAACCCATTTATTTATTATGTCGGGTAGTCCGAGAAACCGTTGGCAATCAAATAGAAAAAATTTTAGGTTTGTAACTAAGCCGGCTCGAATCGTAGTCAGCTGTGCCCAACTTTTTCTGACCGCACGGACCACTGTCATAAATGTTTTGAACGATACAAACATCTATAGAATAATCACAAACGTTTCATTTTATTTTACTTTATTAATACAAAATCTTGTTTATTTTCAACAAATAAGTGTGAAGTTTGTTGCTGCTTCGAAATAAGTTTATGGATTCTTGAATCTTTTCCACGACAGACGACGATCTCACATTATTTATTGATAACAGTCATATCGTGTTTGGAGTTTTTTATATTCGAATTTAAAACTAATGAGTGAGATAAAGCAACCGAGCATTTTGCATTTTCTCGTAATACTTCGCGTAATTTTGAGTTGATCGATGTCCGAATTTATCCACGGACCACTTAAAATTTTCTTGCGGACCATCGGTTGGCGACAGCTGATCTAGGTCACAAGCGGTCTGAAGCGTTACCCCATCCGCCGTCACATGACAGGATGTTTATTACCGTGTTTCCCCGAAAATAAGACATCCGCAGAAAATAAGACCTAGCACAAATTTTGCTGAATTGCGAAATATAAGACCTCCTTCTGAAAGTAAGACCTAGCGAAGATTTTTTTTAGTCGTAACGGTCATCGACAGATGGTTGAAAGTGGCCGTTGGCTTTTTGAAAGTACAGCCACTGATTGGTCAGCAGACAATTACGCCACACGGCATGATTTGCATAAGACTATGGCTTGGAAATCACAGATTTGCATAACGTTATGGCTGGTGATGGCTAATTGGTCGACCGGGAATCACGCCACGTGGCATTTGCATAGTGCTACCGTTCAGTAAGCACTAATTGGTCATCGAGTCCGATGTTGACGCTATAAAAAGGCGACAGTTCGACACACCAGATATACGTCACTTTCGTCTAAGTTCGACTTGGGAACTTTTTTGTTCAATAATAAATGTGAATTCTTCTTCCTGGAAAAAATAAGACATTCCCTGAAAATAAGACCTAGCGCATTTTTCAGAGCAAAAATTAATATAAGACACTGTCTTATTTTCGGGGAAACACGGTATTACTCGTGCGCTTTATAGAAAGATTCTTATTAGTTTATTCGATAGAGGAAAATTAATTATTTTATACAAATTATAATTCTGGTGAGTTTATGAAAATACTGTACCCAATCGAGTTATTAAAACAGTTTGATTTAACCTGTAAATAAATCCCTATGTTCCCCGCGTATCTCAAACACTTAGAAGTTCATCACTGAAAAATTCTAAAATCATTTACATGTTTTTAAACTGATGTCTTAGGTATAGCCCTTTGATGACGAAGTGTGCACGTATTACAGTTCTTGATAACTTCCTTTATAGTGACTCAAATTGACAAATCTCCGAAACGTCTTGCGAAGAATTGAATGACTCGACCGATTCGTACGAAATTTTGCACTATAACTAGCAAAATTACGTGTAGTACTCTCGAAACTTACGGATATGACGGAAAATTTAGAATTTAAAGATTTTTGGAAAGTTTATTTTGTTTTTATTGATATTATCATTTCTAATGCTTTGTAGCCAATGTTCGTTTTAATTTTGGAAAAAAAAAACTTTTTTCCAAAATTAAACGAACATTGGCTACAAACGCTCAACGGAAACTGTTAATGATTTTTTTTAAATTAGATTTCAAAAGAACTAATAAAGAATATTTTTCGTTAAATATCTTTCGAAAATGCTAAATGGTTTTGTATGCTTAAAAGGCGGAGATGCTCTTGCTGTTTTATTTCTCCTTTCCTTTTGTGAAAATTCATGTATCAGTACGATCAAGGTCAACCCTTGTCTCCAATGAAAGCAACGTTTTCATCTTAACTGGAGTTCTGGACTTATAGCAGAAAAAAATTGCACCGAATTTAACAGATCCATATCTAAAAAATCCATATTTTATCGCCGAACATTTTATTAATATAATATTAAATTACAGTAGAGTATCGATTATCCGACCCCCATCAACCGTCACATCGGTTAACCGACCGTTCTAGTCGGCAAATTTCAAATGTCCGCTAATGATGTGGCACTACAATATTTGGCTATGTCTAGGCTACTTTAACATTATTTTTGTTAAATTTTTGCGTGTTTTAGTTGGTAACTCGGCTCGACCATAGAAAAGAGGGCAGTATTTAAACGAGACTTAATTTTCTAATTATGCGTGGTTGTTTGTTTTGTGAGCAATAAAATAATTTAAAAAGAATGTTTAACGACACAATAACGACGATTATTATTTTTTAAAAAATTTTGTTAGGCCTGACATCGATGAAAATGCAACGCGAAGTTGGTTAATAGCGATATACTAATATACTGTACTAATTACATGGGATACACTAATATACTATATTAATAATGTATTTTTTTCGTTCTTTTCGGTTATCCGATTTTTTCAGTTATCAGACCATCCTGAGTTTCCAATTGAGTCGGACGTCGAATAAATCAACAATGTATAATTGTTGATTTATTCGATCAAGGTCATTCGGACAGTACATACACCTGTTCGAATTTTTTTACTTGTTTATTTTTATGGAAGAAATCTGTTTAGCATTAATTATTTTAGACATTTTTTGCGGAAATCTATTGTTTAGATAATTCCAAAGTTAATAGAGCTAATTTTAATCAGATCATCTTTCATACGTAATCTTGAACTTAAGACGAAATTCAGGTAATTATTATAGAAGCACTTAAGTTTCTTAGGTTAGATAAAACTGAAAGGACCCCTGGATAATTACTTTTACTACCTGTATGGATTACAGGTCTATTTATCACTACTTTTTTGGGGAGTTTCTGAATAGTTTAATTAGACTTGTATAAACTTATAATTTATACATACCACAAACTAGTAAAAAAATCATATGTACAATTTTATTTCTTGTACTTTATGCTGTTTAATGTTGTTATATCTATAACTAGGACACCGGGCGACTTTGTTGTATAGCGATAGAATTGAAGCGGAGCCGGAAGTAAACAAGCGATTCCTTCACTTATTAGTCACAGAAGAGACGATTCTTGTACAGTATTTGACGGACGCGGACAGGTGAACTTTACACTTGCCGCCACTAAAGAGGCTATCCTCGTACCTGCAGACCACGGTAGATACGATCCTTGCACTGTCCATCTATCCAAGAACAAGCAATTGCCATCGATTGTTTTGTTCTTGTGTTTTGTTCGTTTTTCGAGCCTATTTTCCATTAGGCGCACGTAATACTGTTTTTATTTTTGATCCCTAGGTGCGCTCATCAGAGAGCAAGGGCATTGTCACTGTAATATCTTTGTATATCGAAAACGCAGTCTTCGACTTCTATTTTTACCTTCCTGGCTCTGTTATAGATAACGAGGGAAAGTATGGCGATCGGTCAAAAATGACCCCCCGAACATTTTTGAACTTAGGGAATTTTGAAACGTCGAGAAATGCAAAAACATTCAGTTTTTTTTTTCTGTGCCTATGGATGTTAATGTGTGTAAAGGACATGTTTTTGTTTACTTCTTTGAAGCTTAATAACTCCTGCGCTTTCGAAAATTTCTAAAATTTTGCAGGAAGATTTGTGTATTAAAAGGATTCATGCTATTAAATTTTGGTGGTTTAAGGTGTCGACGGGTGGGGAGATAAAAAGGATCATGTAACATAACTGTAGTAGAATCGGATTTAACGACGATTTTACTCGTTATTAGCATTTATAATTTTTTTTTTAATAGAACTCATCCCACGCTCAAAATTAAGCTTTTTGCCATTTTATAATAAATAAAAATGTAAACAATTTTTAAAATAAAATATCGTAACAGATAGAGCCACAAGAATTATAAATGTTGCTGGAAAAGTAAACGATTCGTTATTGGACTTTTTACATTTAAATGGATCCACGTTACATTTCTGGATTCCTATTCTCAATTAATGGAAAATGGAAAAATTTTATCAAAATCGATTTATTAAATTTTGAGAACGAACTAGATTCTATAAGCCGATGCAAGACGTGCTAGCGACCGTGATATATTGCGCGATTCGTGCGATATCGCTTTATCGCGCGAGGTCGTCAAACGACCTTATATCTCGAAAACGAAGTCATAGACCCCCCATTTTTATTGCACTTTTGAATTCCTCACCGAAATTAATGGAAAATGGCAAAGTTTAATCAAAATCTATCGAACGGATTTTGAGAAAGAACACAATTCTGTAAGCCTCATAGAAGAAGCTTCGCTAATACTCCGCTTCAATGATTATAATTGAATTTTGTTTATAATTTTTTGAGAATTTCTTATTAATGATTTTGGAAATGTTTCCAAAATTTATAATTTAAAAGTCCAGAAATTTTAACAGGAGAACATAAATATTTCGTTGCTATGTTATTATTCTTTTTATTGTTATTCTCATCTAGATATAAAAACAATAAGTGTTTAAATACCCTGTAAACCAGTGGTTTCAAACTTCCTGTACCTCCGCCTGCTTTTTTCAGAAAAAAAAAATTGTAGTGACCCTCTTCAATTTCCGTAACAATCTAATTTCAAGGATACAATCCTTATAATTTATTTAATGGACTACAAAACATTATGGAAAATTATACCTTTAAATAAAGTACAGTTTAACCCGATTATAACGTCATCCATGGGAGCGGCAACTTTTTGACGTTATAACAGTGTCGTT